TCTGCCCCTTCCTTCAGACTTCCTTACAGAGCCCCTCCTCCAACACACACGAACGCGCACGTGACCAATGAGGGCACGAGATAAGTTTGTGCACGAGATGGAAGGCTGACAGGCAGGTAGGCCATCCAATTATCTGTCGCGGGCCGGGGCAGATACTTGGACTTGCTTTTTACAGCGCCACGGCTTCCACAAATGAAATATGTGTATATTTATTGTCAAAGCATTTAATATATTCATTGCTATTGGGATGTTAAGAGCATTCCATGGAATATAACAAAAAGTGTTTCTGAAGTGAATTACCTATACCCTACCTTTAACAAGCACTTTTACTTTTAAGTATATTTTGATGCTAATAATACTTTTGTACTTTTACATAAGCACATTTTTGTATGCAGGATTTGTACTTATAGGGTGTATTTTAAAAGTGGTACCTTTACTAAAACCTTGAGTATTTCTTCCATCACTGGATACAGATTCATGATGTAGGCTACCTCAGAATAGTAGACCCAGTGGCGAACCGTTAGGGCCTTCAAGGTATTCAGAGAATACCCTGGAACACTCAGATAAAACAAACAAAAAATCGATTTAATTATATAAATAAAATGTCTATAAAATTAATAAAGAGAGAATCGTATCTGTGTTGTTGATCTGTAATATTACAGTGTTACGTTGATTTGTTTGTCCTTCTCAGACCATGCACTACGCATTTCAGAGGTTTTGTGATAGAAAATAAAGAAACCAATCAGATCTTGTTCTCGGTCTCTGGGTAGAATATCCTTCAACCAAGGTATTCTACATCCTTGATAGAATGCCCTGGCAGTTGCACTGAATGAGAGCGTACGTTTGGACTGACAGTTTGATCAACCAATCATATATTGATTTGTAGCCAATGGGCGTATTCTTTCAGAGTTCCCCTCGGTTCCAGGGTAGAGATTCTAGAAGGCCCGCTAGTTAACTGGCTCGAGACAGAGGATCTAGAACGAATGCGACGAAGCAATTAATGCCGTTTTATTGTTTTTAACGTTGAAATGACAAGTGCAACAGGTGAAGATGAAGTTGTTGCAGAATTGTTGTGAGTACCCTTTTCAAGACGACAATTCAGTGAAAAGACGGATATTATAATGCCGCGGCGGCGGGGGGTGGGTGTGTCTACAGAAGGTCCAGTTGTGATAGACACGGTTCGCCACTGTATAGACCTTATTTGCATGGTCTGAAAGGCAGTAACAGAACATTTTCAGTCTGCTTTCATGAGGATATACAGCAGTGTCATTTGCCTTTGATCTGCACTGAAGTTATGGCCTTCCCACTGTTTTATTAAACATAGCTGTAGCTATTGAAATGGAGCCATATCATGGTGATTGATGTTACAGTGTCTTAAAGTGAGTGTAAGGTGCATCCATCAGAGGACATCCCAGCAGACTTGTGTGATGTCAGCTGAAAGGTCTCTTATTGCTCGGCAGCCCAGCCCAGTGCCTCTGTCTCCAATGCAACACCTTCAGCAGGAGTACTACATGTATGATGTAATTGTTGTTTGGTCATGTGATCCGCTGCAGCAGCTGTCAAATTAGGTGAGCAGGAAGATCCTCGGCCCCGCCCCCTGCAGCTGATTGGACCGCTCTCAGACGTCTAGGGACCATCAAGCAAGAGCTCAGCCTATAGATGGACTCATTGTTTAGTTTCAGCCAGGAAACAGAGGGGGAGGGTGGAAAAGAGAAGCAGAATATTGTTGTTGTGGCTCTGCTGAAACACTTTTTGGTCAAATCAAAAAGCAGATTTAACAGTTTTCAAAAGTCATGAAAGCTTCCAACAGCATTCACAATGTGAATACAAAAACATGTTGTTCAAAGTACTTTTAGGAATGTATTGCATATATTTATCCTTTTAAAAATAAAATATACTTAAAAGTAATTGTTACACCTATTAAAAGGAATATGGCACTAAGTTTCTTTCAGAAAATACACAGAATTAACATAAAACAGGTATATAAAAAAATCCTCTATATTTTTTGTAAAGAATTGTCAGAATATGATTCAAAAATAAAGTTGAGAGAGAATAAATGAAATCATAATAACAAATGTTAAAAACATTAGAATCACTTCCATATTGGCATTATGCAATAAAAACTGAAGCATCAAAAGTCTCTACTCTTTTGAGCTTTTCTGGTACATTTTGCTCATGTTAAAGCTTCATTGTTGATATCCTTTGTTGCAATATGTATGTGTCCTTATTTGCCTCAAATGCAACAGAATCAGGTATCAGTTATCAGAAGCAGCCTAATTTCCTGTTAACTGTGACTTGCTTGATTATCATGCAGCCTGTCTTTCAGTGAAGAGTGCAACTTCAGTGCAATATGATTTGTCATCCTATATCTGGCTCATTTAGACAGCTGTAGGGAAAAAGATAGCAACTGTTCCAGGATCAGAAAGTGCTAACAGGATAGGAATGATCTCAGAGATGTGAAAAAAACAAAGCATTATAAACGCTTCACAGATGTAATTTAAATGGGCTTCTTAAGATGTATTCAGTTTGCATCTTATGCTTGGATTTGATTGGTAATGCATCTGTTTCTAGGCTGATCTGTGTCTATTGGGTAAAAACACATCCTTTGTTCGGGACTGTGCATTTGATGTGAAGGCCATAACAAGGGATGGGGATGACATTTAACCAGAATGAGTCAGCTCCAGATTCTTTCCGGAAAAATGTCGTCATGCATTATCTAACTTACACATCTCACTGCACATCTCTTAGGTTCCCAGGGGTTTCAGGCCCTCGGTTTAAGAACATTTGTCCGACAGAGCAGATAGATAATGAGGAACAGAAAGACGATAGGCATATGTGTGTGTGTGTGTGTGTGTGGGGGGGGGGGGTGTGTGTGTGTGTGTGTGTGTGTGTGTGTGTGTGTGTGTGTGTGTGTGTGTGTGTGTGTGTGTGTGTGTGTGTGTGTGTGTGTGTGTGTGTGTGTGTGTGTGTGTGTGTGTGTGTGTGTGTGTGTGTGTGGGTGGGGGTGGGTGGGTGTGTGTGTGGGGGTGGGTGTGTGCTCATTCCTTTCCATTTCTAGATGGGACCAGAGATGTGCTTTATTAAGATCAGAATCTGAATCAGAGATACTTCATTTATCCTGGGGGAAATTCGATTTTGTGACAGCTGTTCCATTTTTGAATGAAATAGAATGAAATATATAAATATATATTTGTACATAAATAAAAAGTAAGAATGTACACTAAAAAATAAAAATAATATTAAATTAGAATAAGATATTAAAGCTGAAAAGTCTAAAAAATATAAATACAGTAATAAAATATTATATTAACATAAGACGTTAATTCCCATCATATTAAGATCTAAATAGGGCTAAAAACAATATGAACAGAAAAATAATTGGCTATAAATATTTTGATAATCAATTCATCATTTAAGTAATTATATCATATGGGGCTTCTTTTTTCTCTTTTATTTTACAAGTGAATATCTTTGACTTTGGAATGACATACAAAGAAATGTAAGGACATATAAAAAAAGATGTTCTGACTTTTATAGACCAAAATATCAACCGATTAATCTTAAAAATAATCTTCATATTAATTGATGATTAACTTTTTTTGCAATCTTAGTTCTAAGTGCACATATTCAAGCAGTCAGCGCACACCTGACCAAATGCACGACAGAGGTCAAACACTGCACCTCCCCTCCTTCCTTCACAAACACACACCTCCTCCTGTGGCGCCTCCATCTGCAGCTCCGTCCCTGGTACCTTCTCACATATCCTATCCATCCTGGACACACGCACGCACGCACGCACGCACGCACGCACGCACGCACGCACGCACGCACGCACGCACGCACGCACGCACACACACACACACACACACACACACACACACACACACACACACACACACACACACACACACACACACACACACACACACACACACACATCTATTAATCTCTCTAACCACACAGTCATGTGAAAGCACACAGACTTCCCTAAATTTAGACATTTTACAGTTAGACTTAAGTTACAACATTTCCGTATCCAAACAAACAAGTTGGCGATAGTCTTACATGTTATTATGCTGGACTGTCTGGTAGAACAGCCAAAGTGAAATTAATATTCACTCTTCTTTTTTTAGGGATTTCATTTTAGATTTTACAGTGATTGTTAAAGCCATTAGGAGGGAATTATGAACCCTTACAACGTTACCAGGATATTTCTGTGTACACTTATAGTATATCTATATAGGCCACACACTGTTGAATGTTGCACCAGTATGGGTCAACTATTAAAGGGGCCATATTATGCTCATTTTCAGGTACACGTTTGTACTCTACTGGGACATGTCTCCATGCTGTAATGTTCAGAAAGCTCTTTATTTTTCTCATACTGCCTGTGCTGCAGCACCTCTTTTCACCCTCTGTCTGAAACCAGAGCCCAGTCTGCACTGATTGGTTAGCTGGCGGGCTCAGTTGTGATTGGTCAACACCTATCAAGTAAGTTGTTTGAGTGCTAGCCAATATAAGTGCAAGTGTTACGTAGTGATTTCACTATGGAGGGAACCATTTTAGCAGTTGCAGACCATTTACATGCACAAAAAAACCTATCCAATAAGTTAATAATTTTGCGAATCAATTAAGCGGTTTGAGAAATTTTTCAAGGAAAAACATAGTTAATTATATTCTTACAGCTTCTTAGATTTGAATATATAGGCCAAACAACTCATTAATAAATAGAGAAGACAATCAAAATATTTATTTATAATGGATATTATTGTTGAAGCCCTTCTTGTGTATATTGTTTTATTTGCTAAGGGTACAAATAGTCCTTTATTATGGACTGAAATTACGTCGGCAGATGTTTGTATAACATCTTCCTACATTATGATGTAATTTATTTCAGTGCTTAGTTCGCACCAAACAGGAGGGTCTATACTTTATCCAGAGCCCCTAGCTTTCAAATCCAAGCTCCGCCTCTCCAGCAAGCGCACCCACCTTGTCCACCAGCAGCAGCAGCACAGTGCGCCAGGCAGGCAGCGGGAGTCAGGCGTGGGTCACACCGGGGAGCAAGCAAGACGGACCGGCAGCAGCACTGAGTGATAGCCACTGTACTACGGAGAAAAGACTGTTAGGGGGAAACTCCGTAATAAGACTGTATAGGACTAAGCGGTATCCTTCATTTTGTCAACCGTGAAAGGGAACTCCTTCACTGCCACATTTGGGAGTACCGAACCCGGTGGTGTTAGGGGGGAAATATGCAGTTGAAGCCGGACTCTGTCAGCCGCGCAGCTGGCCTCAGAGGCTGGTGATGCCCGGCGTGCCGCGCGGGGATCACCGCCCAGCAGCAGGAGTGGGTCGGGACAACAGTGCCTCGGGAGGCCGATGATGATGCTGGTAAAGTCGGGATCATGGCTAACGGAACCGGTACTATCATGTTAAAATGCGTCGTGGTTGGAGACGGTGCAGTGGGCAAAACGTGCCTTCTGATGAGCTATGCCAATGACGCCTTTCCAGAGGAGTATGTACCCACAGTGTTTGATCATTATGCAGGTAGGAATTTCTATTATTCTATCTGTCATGGGCGTCTAATAATAACACTTATTGAAATGGTGTGTTTGTAATATCAATTCTAAAAAGAGTGAATGTGATGTTGCTGGGTGAATTTCCTCTGCCACTTCCTCTCCAACTGCATTGGCTTGCATCTGTTGCTATAATCAAAACCACTTGTTTGCCTTCTTCATAGCAGAGAGGGGTTGGGGACCCCCCTCCCTTACTCCCTCCCTTCTTTTTCTGCTCCCCAACCTCACCCTCTCTCCTCTCAAATGCTCTTTGTCATTTATTTGCAGTGAGCGTCAACGTTGGTGGAAAGCAGTACTTGCTGGGACTGTATGACACAGCTGGTCAGGTACAGTTTATTTTTTCCCTCTGGCCCGGTGCCAAGCATGTCAAGGACACACACTCACACACTCTATCTCTATATCTCGGTCTCCATGTGCGCTCCTGGGACCGATCTATCCAGCACGCCCACAGGCTTCATATTCAGGCCAGACACTAAGCTGCAACAGGTGATGGTTTTCGCACATGGGTTTACTGCCTGTAGTGGTGTGTGCCATGGACAGTGATGGTAGTGAAGGGGTTTCAATAGTTATATTATGTGGAGAACAGGGCTCCTATGTCCAGTAGTGATGTCACAGGTTTGTTAATAGGGCTGCCTAATGCCTGGGCTTTTTCTTTACAATGTGCTATTCAGCGGACAAGAGCTACAACTGAAATGGTAATCCAATGGGCTACACACACACACACACACACACACACACACACACACACACACACACACACACACACACACACACACACACACACACACACACACACACACACACACACACACACACACACACACACACACACACACACACACACACACACACACACACACACACACACAAATAATGTTTCCACTCAGCAGAAGAGCTCAGCAGTATAAACACACAGACAGAGGAAACCATGTTAACATACCACGGACAGAAGATCATTGAGTGCAAGATATGCTGCATCATTCACAACCAGATCTTACAGACTACAGTTTAGGGCTGCACATAATGAGGAAAAGATGTGATGTGATTTGCTGAATTAAAAAAAAAACTGCTTTTAAAGTGCACTCAGTTGCTTTCATTCAAAACAATCTAAAAATTGCTTGATGAATAACGAAATTAAAGGAAATTATTCTCCACTTTTTTCTATTGGAATAAATGAACTGAACACACAAGGGACCTCTGAAAAAATAATGATGGTTCCTTTTTTAAGTGCCATTTTCTTCTAATACTGTCTTTCGAAGACCTCATAAAACCCCTGAGAACAATGACGCAATCTTTCACAGTCTGTTGCACAAGTCAAAATATAAATATAGTTTGTGCAGCCCTAGTTTTAGGGATACAAATGTGAATCATTTAATAAGTGTAATAACTTACATGATAAGAGTCCAACTGAAATGATTAGTCAAGTAATCAATCGTCGATTAACCGGCAACAATTTCTGATAATCGATTAATTGTTAGTTGAATAATTAAAACAGTTGAAGTAAATGGGGTCTGTGTGATTCAGAAGCAAAACAATAACACACTTTTTTAACAGTCTTCAATTGCGCAGACTTGTCCATGTAAGTTCAGATCAGTTACAAATGTTTTTAATAGTAAGGTTTTATAAAAAAATTATGTGTTACAGATATAGTTTTGACGTTGTTTAGCAGGCCAAATTGACTTCAATTCATCAAGACATCTCTGTTTTATGGGTCTTTGTTCAAGGTGGAGTCTTGTGATTTTTCTTCAAGAACTCAAAGTAACACGGAATGAGTAATTGATATAGAAATGGTCATGTTGTAGGAGAAGTCTTGATTAAATAGCAGACATCTTAAATAATGTGGACCACTAGAAGTGTGGGGGCTGGTTTTGACACAGTTCTGCTGATCAACAGTTGGCAGTGTAACACAGCACTGGCAGCAGGATAAATGCATACAAGCCTTCTGAAGAAAAACACTAATTACAGAAATAATTGTTTGTTAAAAGGAAACTCCAAAGAGCCCCTTTTATGTTTGGCCTTCCTTTAACAATTACAAGACAGCCAACAGTGGTGTAGCCTTTCACTGCCCCTAAACCTTTCACCTCCAACAACCTAAAACTGTACACATGTCAAACGTTGAATAGTTAACACTTTCCTCAGGGCCGTATTTAACTGTGTGAAGTCAGAATGAGTCACAATCCGAAATGTGATCCGTTCATCGGAAAGACAAAAACGAGGCGCTGAAAGGTCACCCGGGGAATATTCAGCCTCTCGGTTTCTGTTCATTCATGAATGCTAAATGTCCATGAATATCAAATCACAACCCTCCCTCCTTCTTCCCAGCCAACCTGTAGCCGCACTGCATTTCTGTTCTCGACAAAACAGATGGAAGAGGTGTTACTACCCGGTTGTAAAAAGAGGAACACATACTTATTGTGTATTCTGGCATGTTTGATATTGTGTGTGTGTGTTTCAGAGCAGGGTTTGCTTTTAGCTGATTCAGAGTGTCTCTGAAATGGAGAAGTTCTCCCAGATGTCTGCCGTGGGTGCTGCCGGCCTTTCGAGAGTAGAGTTACTGCTCTTGAAAACGAGCACCCCCCACCACCGCCCCGACTCGGCTGACCTCTTTATGCGGAGCAGCAAGGCCAGCTGGTAATGTTTATAGCTTCAACATCTGATCAAAGAGCTGTCGCCCCAAAGAGAGAGAAAGAAAGGAAGGAAGAAAGAGGAGGGGAGAGAGACGGATGGGGTGACGGAGAGGGTGAGGAGGGGGTAGAATTGCTAAGAAAGTGAACAAATGGAGTGATGCAGCGATTACTTATTTGTGTAGGCTGACCTGTGGTCCCTCGACAAAGAGCTATCTGATTTTTTCCTTTGGATTTTGGAATAATGCAGAAAATAAACTCTGTGACAAGTCAAATCTGAAATTACGTTATAAACAAACTACATCATGTTTGCAGGGCTGCGTATCACCACCGCTAAGCTAAAGGCGGCTAATGATTGGCGTGATGAGCATTAGTAGTCTAATTTAGCCACTTCTTAGCAACCGCTTCTTTTACGACAGATAGAAGCTTCGGACATTGTGGGGTATTTAGTGATGTATTTTATGTTGTGGAACAAAAAGTTAAAATCTCTTAGGCATGTGTAAAAAAACAGAGCTTATTTCAACCAATAACACGTTCAAACCGTTGACTTCAAGACGAGGGAACTGAAAGTGGTTACTCATGAACTTTTTTTTGTTCCATAACGTTGTGACATCACTATGTAACACTGGCTAGTGATCTAAAACATTGTACGTGAAAGGATAAGGGGGCAGAACATCTCTAGCAGTTGTCCAATCACAACAGAGCCGGCCAGCTAACCAATCAGAGCAGACTGGGCTCTGGTTTCGGACAGAGGGTGAAAAGAGGTGGTGCAGCACAGGCAGTATGAGAAAAAATAAAGACCTTTTTGAACATTAAAGCATGGAGACATGTCACAGTAGTAGAGTACTAGACCGATCTTATACAAATACAAACCTCCAAAAATGAGCACAATTGGGCCCCTTTAAGTTTTGTTTTCCCTTTCTCTCCCTCACATATTACTTGCCCTTTATCATCTCCACCTCTGGCCTGTGCTACACATGTTTGGCTTCAGGCTGCCTGTAATATTGATATTCCTGGCAGGGCTACAGCTCCCACAATGGGTCAGCACACTGCCGCTGCCATGCCCTCATCAGATGCTATTTCATACTATTGCGTCTCTGTGACATGTCAGGGCCACATCATCACGGCCCGGCATTGACCCGAGTGCCGCTCACTGTCTGCTTTTGAGACGGCTGCTCTGCTTCTATTATCCGCGCTCTGCCACGTCGCTCCCCCCAGCCACCGTCTATTGAATTATTCCATATGGAAGGTCTGCGAAGTCTGTTTGGCTGAATGTGACGAGGGGAAAGCCTTTACTTATTCATTCGTTCTCATGATGCTGCACTCAAAGAAAAAATCTAGCATTGCTGCCTGAAGAGAAGCAGGAGGAAGCAGGAAGTGGATGTTAAGTGCTGTGGTACCCATGGAAACGCTTTAAGGAGAGGAACTCAAGAGTTGTGACCCTCTGGGATCTGTGCCACGCTGCCCTAGTAGCCCCCACATTTTGTCGTCTGACTGTTCCTCATTTGCTTAGCCATTCAGGTGCTTCTCACACTCAACTGCACATCCCTTGATCACTGTTCCTCTTCACTTCACACACTTCCTCCATTCTGTTTGACACAGTCTGATGAGTCCTTTTTGACTCAGCAAACAAGAGTCACCCCCAGACGTCCCAGTATAGAGGAGGGGGTGACAGGTGGGAATTAGGGTGAGGCATAAAAGGGAGGGTCTGGAATTTTTGTTTTCCCATCTGGGAGCCTATCCCCAGTTAGATTTTTCGAATTCTTCTTCATCATTTTTCTATCTTAAAGGGGACCTATCATGCAAAATGCACTTTGTGATGTCTTTTATACATAAATATGTGTCCCCGGTGCGTCGGGAATTCACGCAGCGTCAGAAAATAAAACCCTCTCTCTTTTCCTCCGTACCCAAATCTTTTAAAAACGGGGGTACAATGAGCGGATACAGATTTTCTGACGTCAAATCGGCAGTGGACCCACAGAAAGTTGCTATCAGAAACAATGCCTGACGTGTTTTGGACGTAATCTCGTCTTTGTTTACATTAGCAAGCCTCGCTAACACTCAGAGCTAACCTGCACTGTGGAGCACATGTGTTTAAAAAGCAGGAAATAAAAAAAGGAACTCACCTTGTGATAAACACGCAAGAGAAAAAGCATTTGAGCTCCATACAGAAATAATCTTTGATGTGGTTTAAACAGGATGGCGTTTTATCACAGCAGAATTTAACTTTGTCTCCGGTAGAATTCTGATCAGGCATTAGCTCCACCTCCTCCTCTTCTTTTTTTTTTTTTTAAAGCTAAGGACCCAAAATCCGCGTTTCTCTAACAGGGCTGCAAAAGAGGGGTATGAGCAGTATGAGGCATGGCTACAATGGGTGATCTGTTTGGTATTTTAAGCAAAAACTTCACAGACATGTTTTGTATAGGTATGGCCCTACAATATATGTTTCCAATATAGCATGATAGGTCCACTTTAAGCTGTATGTTTGAAACTTGTAGCATTCCATGGAAACATCTACTTCAATTTAAGGTGATAAAACTATGTCTCACGATGCTTTTGATTACTGACGATATTTAGACGATATTGTAGAGTACCATTGGTGCTTTCACACAATATTCACAATATTCACATTTTTGATAATTATATAAATTGTAAAGTAAATAACTGAATAGTTTGGTAAATTCAGAAAATTACATCAATCT